ACCTTCATTCATGTCATTAGGTCCCAGGAAACAACATATTTAAATTTGAAGAAAATTTGTTAAAGCGTTTTCATGTTATTGAGCGGACGCTGTTTGGCAGCCGCCAGAGCCGCCCGCCGTATATAACCATTTTAATAACCGATATATCCTTCGAAAATCCGGTTAAAAATATTGGTAACAAGAGTGCACACGCTGAAATGTCTCACCTAATTTACTGACCATTGATTTTATGTTGATAGTCCTACATATAAAGTTTTACTACAAGTATCACATTAACATTTATGATCCAAGAAAATGAGGTCAAGGTCAGATAAACCAAGCCAGAAATACATGTACACCTTTAATACAATCCCTCCATACACAGAATATAGATGACCTATTGCTTATTGTATAAAAGAAACAGACCAAACCATGGAAATTCTATACCCACCAATGAACCATGAAAATGAAGTCAAGGTCAATTGAACCCTGCCAAACAGACATGTACACCTTAAAATCATTCCTTGCACCAAATACAGTAGACCTATTGTTTAAGGTATCTAAGAAAAAAGTTAACCAGGAAAACTGAACATTGACCAATCAACCATGAAAATGAGGTCAAGGTCAAATAAAACCTGCCAGACTGACATGTACATCATTAAATATTTCCATACACCAAATATAATTGACCTACTGCATACAGTATTAGAAAAACAGACCAAAACACAAAAAACTTAACATTGAGCAATGAACTGTGAAAATGAGGTCAAGGTAAAATAAAACATGCCAGACTGACATGTACATCTTAAAATATTTCCATACACCAAATATAGTTGACCTATTGCATACAGTATTAGAAAAACAGACCAAAACACAAAAAACTTAACATTGAGCAATGAACCGTGAAAATGAGTTCAAGGTCAAATAAAACCTGCCAGACTGACATGAACATCGTAAAATATTTCCATACACCAAATACAGTTGACCTATTGCATACAGTATTAGAAAAACAGACCAAAACAAAAAAACTAAACTATGACCACTGAACCATGAAAAAGGGGGGCAAGGTCAGATGACACCTGCCAGTTGGACATGTTCACCTTACAATCATTATTTACACCAAATATAGTAGACCTATTGCTTATAGTATCTCAGATATGGACTTGACCACGAAAACTTAACCTTGTTCACTGATCCATGAAATGAGGTCGAGGTCAAGTGAAAACTGTCTGACAGGCATGATGACCTTGCAAGGTACGCATATACCAAATTTAGTTATCCTATTACTCATAATAAGAGAGAAATTAACATTACAAAAAATCTTAACTTTTTTTCAAGTAGTCACTGAACCATGAAAATGAGGTCAAGGACAATGGACATATGACAGACAGAAACTTCATATCATAAGGCATCTATATACAATTAAAGTTTGAAGCATCCAGGTCTTCTACCTTCTGAAATATTAAGTTTTTAAGAAGTTAGTTAATCTTCGCCGCTGGATCACTATCCTCATGTTGAGCTTTCTACGACAAAAGTCGCAGGCTGGCCAAATCGTCATCAAAGGGCAATAACATTAATAAGGAGTCGACTGAGGATTTCAACCATGCAGACTTATTTGTAGAACATGTCTTGCTGATCAGTTTTTGCAATTGAAAGTTTCTCTCTACAATGTATCTATTATAGTTTTCAAGATAGTACAGTTCTACCTGTGACATTATCTTATTAATGGTGGCCATAAAAAATATGGTCACCATGATGGCCCTAAATGTCCATCATTATACCCCCTGCTGCTAAATTAATACACATGTACAAGGTATTAATCAAAAACTAGTCAAGGATAAAGAGAAATCATGACTGCATTGAAGTGTTAAAATTACATAACTTACAGGTAAAGTGTCTCAGGGAAAATATATGACTTTTTGTGTTTGTCAAATTTAAAAACCGTGATTATGACAATAAAATTCTAAAATAAAATGAAATAATAAAACTAGTTGAATATATAGCTTAATTTACTAACTTTTTTTTTGTAAAAATTTTCTCATGACTGTTTGCAAATGTTTGTTTTGATCATGTTGATGTTATAACTTTTAAATAATTCTATCAATTTAAGTTATTTTTTACATGTGTTTTTTGGCAAGTGAATAATAAATGAATATCATCTTCTAATATAATGCAAACTTTCACAACGCCTGCCTTTTTCCATTGAAAAGGTGTTTCTCAAATTAATTTTCTAAATTCAAAATTGTTAAAACTTACTGCATTTAACATTGTTTAACAAATGTTTAAGATTATCTTTCTGACTTATTCTAAATAAAATTTATGCAATTCATTATTTCTCTATTGAATAATCATGATAATACATGTATATTCAAAATATTCATTACAGAAAAAATTGATAATTTTTTTATTGTCATATAAACATATTACAATTTAATCAAGTTTCTGACAAAAAAAAAACCAAAACAAACATTATAATGCAAAGAAATAACAATTCTATAAGAAATCAAAACACATGGAAAAAAGTTATTAGATTTCTGCCCTCAGTTCTAATGACTTTCTTTTATAAAGGAGCCAGTATTTTAAACATGTTCCAGGTTATAGAGGTTTAGCATTTCTTTTACTTTTTGTTCTTGGTTAAGATTTTATTCATAAGATTCAAGATTTTATTCATAAACTGGTCAGAGACATTATTATGAGAAGGTAAACAATTTTCAAATAGATTATCCCTAAGTTGTTCATGTTGTTATGTTAATTTTACAAACAATTCTTTCTAGGAATTTTTATTCACCATTTTCTATTTCTAAATTATGACCACTAATTCTTTACTTAGTGAAGCATTTGAGTTTACTGTTTTCATCATAAGTTTTTATTCTATTTGAAAAAATATTCTTATTTATTTTCAAAAATATTCTTATTTTTTTTCTTAAAATTCATTTTTAATCAAGGGCTTTAAAGAATCTAATTCATTCAAGTCCGTGCAATTATTAACTTTATCTAAAAGGCCTGAGTTGAGTGAAATATTCTTTGCAAATGTATACCAAGAATATGTATCATGCATATGCCAGTCCTGCAGTTTCGACAATATAATACACAGAACAAAAAGTGATTTAATTAATAGGTAAACAGACAGAAAGACACAGGACAAAAAGTCACAGGACATAAAGTCACAAATTTGATAGGACAAAAAGTCACAGGACAAAAAGTCACAAATAATTTGTTGACAATTGTTTGAATATATAAGAGAAAGATCTTGAAATATTTTCTTTTTATAACATATATATTTCATTTTTAAGTTTAGGAAATTGTTCATAAGCCTTGATAAATGAAAATTTATTAAATTTTAATCACACAAAGGATATATTTCTTGGCAAATGAAAAATAATAATAACATAAAAAAATAAAAACATTAGAAAAAAGGGAAATATGTAAATTTAAAGACAGAAAAATCAACAAATGACCATGATGATATGAATTAACAAAGACTAAAACAAACATTCTATTCTACATTTTCAAGGAAGGTGAAATGTCAATTTGAGAAGAAACCTGAGTTACCTGTACAGGTAAATTTTAATGAAACATACAAGCTGAAAACTTCAACCCTGATTGATTTCAACAGGTAACATAATTAGATAAAACATCAACCTATGTTTTATGACCCCAATAAATGGCCAACATCTCAAGATTGAATACCCCAATAATTGGCCACCATTTGATGATGACCATACATGAACAAGAGGGTGGACATAACTAAGAGGAAGTCACAGGTTGTACTGTAGGCAAAACTTGACTGAGGGGGCGGGGCCAAATAATCTCCATGGTAATGAGATGTGCCAATGCTAATACAACTGCATACCAAATATCATTGAATTACCACTAGTGGTTCACCATGAACTAGACCTAATCACAAACTAATACATTGTTGAAGCCGCCACCGCTGGAAACAGCATACCTATGTCTCACTTTTTGACTCTGTCAAGGCGAGACAAAAATTATGTGGTTCATAAGTGTTTCTCGTTTTTTATATAGATTAGACCGTTGGTTTTCTCGTTTGAATGGTTTTACACTAGTAATTTTTGGGGCCCTTTATACATTAGCTTGCTGTGCGGTGTGAGCCAAGGGTCCATGTTGAAGACCATACTTTGACCTATAATGGTTTACTTTTATAAATTGTGACTTGGATGGAGAGTTGTCTCATTGGCACTCATACCACATCTTCTTATATCTATATAGTATTATATATTTAAAGCTACAATGAAAATAAATCACCTAGTTTAGTGATTTATTAGTACTACTTAAATAGGTGATTATTAAAAAAAGGCAACTCTCACTTCCAACATTTCTGGACAAAATGTTACTTGAATTAGTGATTTAAGAAATCACTCATAAATAAGTGATTCCCCTGACTGGTCATGACTGCGATAAAAGCAGTATTACGCCATATAAAATGGAATTATCGGGTAAATCTATCGGTTCTCGGATTCATATTGAGTTTTAGGAAGTTCTCAGGAAATCGTTGTGATTGCAACTGTAAATGAAGGTTACAATCAACCATTAAATATTATGGGCACAGCCATTTTTTGAAGATAACATGGTATTCAGAATTAAGAGTATGGCTAATCCTGATTGGTCAATATGTGCATCCGTTATTTTTTATTATTAGAGACTTCGTGCACTCTGCATTATACCAAAGGCAAAATAATATATTTTCCTTAGCCCTAATGGATCTCAGGTGTCTTTTCTACGCTAGGATGAGAGACGTGTTTATAAGTGCAAAATTGATAGGCAAGGGAGATAAGTACAATTTACGTTAAGAAAAGCCACGGGAACCTATATTTTTTTTACCAAAAAATACCGTCCGAATAATTTTTCTTTATTTGTAGCAAGGTTTCGTTAGAAAAATAAACTTTCTAAAGTCTTTATCTGGAAAAAGGCTATCATTGTCGCCTATGGCGAAATTAATTGTTTTTTTTCCGATCTGTACAATTCTTTCTATTTTATTTTTTTGGTTTTTGTTGTCTTACCATGCATTGTGTTCAAACACATTATCCTGATTTTCAAGGTTTCTGTTTCCGAATTGTGGGCGTTTTTCCTTTACGTTTTCAGCTGATAAATCCGTGAATTTGTCCCCAGTATCATTCATATTTAGGCCTAGCCACTTTGCAAATTAGTCTTTGGTTGAATATCGATGTTAGTATGGTATCTAACTCACTGTGGAAGTAGAGGGAGCGGAGACATGACTGGACAGGGATCCACTTGCGCAATAATAAAAAAAGGACCTGAACGGAGTAAATGTGAGGAAAATCCGGATTGTAATAGTTTGTAATATTTTCAGCCTATTATATCGTTAGAATAAAATGTACATAATTTATATAAGATAAAGAAAGTGTTTAGGTTTATAATTATATGAACATGTAATATTTCATTTCGAAACAAAATCATAGTATATCATTGTGTGTGTGTAAATAATGATAATCGTTCTTTCTTTCTACAGGTATGAATCGCCGTTCTAGATCGGCGCACTCCTACATAGAAGAATGGCTAATGCGCTATATACAAATATACACCCGCACCCACTAAAAACTCATATTACACACAAAGGAACGTGCCACTAATCCACTAATTCATGCATATATATATCATATAACGGTAACGGTAAAAGCGTGCTGCACATATACTGTGTTCAAGTGTTATTTACATATTATATTCAAATTGCTCACTTGGTAAAGTTGAAGATGAGCTTCATTTTTTGTTAGAATGTCCTCTTTATGATATTCAAAGGGAAGACTTTTTTCAATACATATCTGACAATTGTTATAATTTTAAAAATTTAAATAAATCTTCTAAATTTTTATGGCTCTTGACTCAAGAAAATGTAACTCTTATGGAAAAACTGGGCTGTTATATTTGTGACTGTTTTGAATTAAGGAGATCAGGTATGCATATTGACACTAAGTCAAGTAAATGATTTGAGAATGAATGCATATAATGTAATTTTATTCTTTTATTCACAATATATGTGGTTTTTGGCTCTGATTCTGACCAATGCTAATATACTAAATATATATTTTCAAGTGACTATTATTGTTGTTGTTACCAATTATGTAAATCAATTGTATCTGATTTTATGCCCTTTATGGGCCCTGTAATTTGGGAAATAAAAATATTCTATTCTATTCTATTCTATTCTATACATTAGCTTTATAGCAGTCTATAGGTAAGCACTAAATGTTAATGTCTTATATTTTGGACATACTGTTAATATCGGATATATGCGTTCATCTGCAGAATATGTAGATATATTTAAAATTTAGGTACACTAAAGCACTATGCGGTAAATATGCAGGAAAATAGAATGTTAAAGCACTATGCTGTAAAATGGCCAAAATAAACGATACATGTAGGTAAATAGCCAGCCGGATTGTCGTTATTTTTTTAATAAATAATATGCTTCTACATAAACTGTCACTACACCCTCGCCCCTACCCTGCCATCTGCCTCATTCTACTGGTATGCATGTCGTAGCAGAACAGTCGTGTGAGGTTTTCTAGCTCTATACATAATACAATTCTTTATTTAACGAAGGTAGCTCACTTAACAATAAGGTGTTAATCTTCCCTGGGGCCTTCACAAACTATTCATACGATAGAAAAAAATACAAACAAATAAAATACATAGTACAGTTAACTATATAAAATACATAATACAGTTAACTATATAAGATACATAATACAGTTAACTATATAAAATACATAATACAGTTAACTATATAAGATACATAATACAGTTAACTATATAAGATACATAATACAGTTAACTATATAAGATACATAATACTGTATAACTATATAAAGCAGCTTTAATATGGAATACGCACATCAAGAGAAGAAAAAAATACAGATTCAAGTATCTTCATTCTGTAAAGTAAAAAAATAGTTTGAACATTTGTAAATTAATGTCATGCTTTCCGTCAATGGCCATTGTTCGGAACAATAAATATTCTTATTCTTCTTTTAATTCTATTAACAAAATACATACTTTCTGACATTTGTGGGAATTAATACTGATTCACTCATAGGGTCTTTGCACCGAAAATAAACATATTTATTCTAAAACCAGTAATTGTTTGTTTTTGGCATGATACGGGATATGCTCTTCCCATATAATTTATGATTAATTGCATGATACTATGAAAGAGATAAATCAGGTCTGGTAATAATGTGTCCGGGTGGACACCAATTCCTAGTATAAAAAGTCCATGGTTACACAATTTACTAGTATTTTTAGAGCGATGTCGGTAAATAATGTCCACAGATAAATTTTCCTAGGTATTAATGTCCGTGTACTTAATATTCCTAGGTAAAAATGCCCATGTCCTCTATTTTACTAGGAAAAATATTTACATATAAACAATGGGATTGTTTACTTGTGAAGTTTCAATATTTTTGTTTAACAGTTGTACACTAATCTTTCATCATTTTATTAAAATATGGGTGCATTTCAAAATAATTACATTGGACTTTTTCCTAGGAAAATTGATATCACACACTTTATGATTTTTATTACTTAAAAATTGTTGTTTTTTTTTATTTGAAGTAATAATGAAGTAATAACTATACACAGTTGGATTAATATTAAGGAATGTCTTAAGAATTGAAATTTTAAAAGGAGTTTTTTTTTCCTAGGAAAAATTGATAACAAGGACTTTTTATCTTTATAATTCAGTCATTTTCAGAAGAGTTCGATACAAATTTGAAAATTGTCCCAAATATGCACGAAAAACTCTCCATAACCATAATAACCATAATTTACTAGAAAAGTAATTAAGTCCCTTGAAAATCAGTGCCAGACATATTTTACTAGCTATGGGCTTATTTTCCTAGGAACATTTATCCTGGGACTTATTTTTCTAGTAAAATTATGGTCATGGACTTCATTACATATCAAACAATGTCTTGGGAACACATTTTACTATCGGACCGAATTTACTGTTACAACTAAACCCCTAACGGCAGGGATTGTGGTTGATTTTCACGAAGACATGATCTTTCGATCAGTTTAATTGAGCCCTGGAGCTGACATGTAAGTAATCGCTAGTAGTCCTTGGTTAATTTATGTATAAGTAAGTAAAATGTACAAATTAACAGAGTAAACACGAGCTCTGTAGAGCTCATATAACCATCATTTTTGCTTATTTTTTTTTACCTATTCAACCATCGGACTTCTTTTAAACCGAGTTTTACTGTGCGTACTGTATTGCTTTGTTTATTCCACATTGGCTATTGGAATAGGGAGAGGGTTAGTTTATTCCACATTGGCTATTGGAATAGGGAGAGGATTAGTTTATTCCACATTGGCTATTGGAATAGGGAGAGGATTTGTTTATTCCACATTGGCTATTGGAATAGGGAGAGGGTTTGTTTATTCCACATTGGCTATTGGAATAGGGAGAGGGTTAGTTTATTCCACATTGGCTATTGGAATAGGGAGAGGGTTAGTTTATTCCACATTGGCTATTGGAATAGGGAGAGGGTTAGTTTATTCCACATTGGCTATTGGAATAGGGAGAGGGTTAGTTTATTCCACATTGGCTATTGGAATAGGGAGAGGGTTAGTTTATTCCACATTGGCTATTGGAATAGGGAGAGGGTTAGTTTATTCCACATTGGCTATTGGAATAGGGAGAGGGTTAGTTTATTCCACATTGGCTATTGGAATAGGGAGAGGGTTGTTTATTCCACATTGGCTATTGGAATAGGGAGAGGGTTGTTTATTCCACATTGGCTATTGGAATAGGGAGAGGGTTAGTTTATTCCACATTGGCTATTGGAATAGGGAGAGGGTTAGTTTATTCCACATTGGCTATTGGAATAGGGAGAGGGTTAGTTTATTCCACATTGGCTATTGGAATAAGGAGAGGGTTAGTTTATTCCACATTGGCTATTGGAATAGGGAGAGGGTTAGTTTATTCCACATTGGCTATTGGAATAAGGAGAGGGTTAGTTTATTCCACATTGGCTATTGGAATAGGGAGAGGGTTAGTTTATTCCACATTGGCTATTGGAATAGGGAGAGGGTTGTTTATTCCACATTGGCTATTGGAATAGGGAGAGGGTTGTTTATTCCACATTGGCTATTGGAATAGGGAGAGGGTTGTTTATTCCACATTGGCTATTGGAATAGAGAGAGGGTTAGTTTATTCCACATTGGCTATTGGAATAGGGAGAGGGTTGTTTATTCCACATTGGCTATTGGAATAGGGAGAGGGTTAGTTTATTCCACATTGGCTATTGGAATAGGGAGAGGGTTAGTTTATTCCACATTGGCTATTGGAATAGGGAGAGGGTTAGTTTATTCCACATTGGCTATTGGAATAGGGAGAGGGTTGTTTATTCCACATTGGCTATTGGAATAGGGAGAGGGTTAGTTTATTCCACATTGGCTATTGGAATAGGGAGAGGGTTGTTTATTCCACATTGGCTATTGGAATAGGGAGAGGGTTAGTTTATTCCACATTGGCTATTGGAATAGGGAGAGGGTTGTTTATTCCACATTGGCTATTGGAATAGGGAGAGGGTTAGTTTATTCCACATTGGCTATTGGAATAGGGAGAGGGTTAGTTTATTCCACATTGGCTATTGGAATAGGGAGAGGGTTAGTTTATTCCACATTGGCTATTGGAATAGGGAGATAGTTGTTTATTCCACATTGGCTATTGGAATAGGGAGAGGGTTAGTTTATTCCACATTGGCTATTGGAATAGGGAGAGGGTTAGTTTATTCCACATTGGCTATTGGAATAGGGAGATAGTTGTTTATTCCACATTGGCTATTGGAATAGGGAGAGGGTTAATTTATTCCACATTGGCTATTGGAATAGGGAGAGGGTTAGTTTATTCCACATTGGCTATTGGAATAGGGAGAGAGTTGTTTATTCCACATTGGCTATTGGAATAGGGAGAGGGTTAGTTTATTCCACATTGGCTATTGGAATAGGGAGAGGGTTGTTTATTCCACATTGGCTATTGGAATAGGGAGAGGGTTGTTTATTCCACATTGGCTATTGGAATAGGGAGAGGGTTGTTTATTCCACATTGGCTATTGGAATAGAGAGAGGGTTAGTTTATTCCACATTGGCTATTGGAATAGGGAGAGGGTTGTTTATTCCACAT